TCTGGTGCAGCTTTTTTATATATGAATGGTGGCAAGTTATCTAGATCACCTGCTTTGTTCTTTAATGATTTAATGATGAGTGAGACTTCAGTGGGATTAATTGGAGCTAGAAATAGAGTATTTGGATAGTTGCCAGTGGGGTACTCACTCAGCTGAGTATTTGAGCTAGGAATTTGTCTTGATAGCTTTGATCCTACAGTAGAGAAGAAGACATTAAATTTGTCGGCTGTCCTACCCCGCCTTCCCTCCACTACAGATTTATACATTTGGCCCCTCGAACTTGCCTATCACACCCTCTCTAAATGTTTCTCCCACTTTAGCATTTAGGTCCCATACCACAATTGCTCTCTCACTTGGTTCAAAAGTTCCTACACACTCGCTTAACATCTCCTCTATAGGTTTTATGTGAGGTTCATCTGGTTTAGTTAAGTTTCTCTCTCTGTTTCCAGACGGTTTCCTAGAGCCCAAAATTTTGGAGAGGGTTTGCCAGGTACTTTTCATATCGCCTTTCATTTCACTAAATCTGTTATCATAATACATTTGCTTTGATTTACGTATTAGTTTTGTGAGTATTGATGTGTATCTTTTAGTAAATTCTTTAGTAATTAGGCCTAATCTAAACTGTTTTTCAATTTGGTGTTTTTTATTAATAGATTTGAGGATACTTTTTGTTAGCCATGGGCTGTTTAGTCTCTTTTCTGTGATCTGTTTAGTTTTGATTGGACAGTGTTTGTTATAGAGGTTTAGGGTTTTATGTAAAAAAAATTGATATCTTTATCGATATTATTACTGTCATCTAGCTCTCTCTGCCAGTCAGTGGCACCTAGTGCTAGTTTTAGGTTGTTTATCAATGTCTCATCATGGAGGGGGATTCCCCTTCCAAACAGTAACCTCAACTCCCTCTCCCCTCCTCGCCTTCTTCAATACGCCAACAAGAGTCTTCAAGAAAGGTATGTAATGTTCGTTTATCATTAAAATTAGTCATTTATATTTATTTCTCATTGTTTTCTGTATGTAAAACTATAGTTATTCTTTAAAAAATGTATTTTTTGTTAATATTTTTGGTTGTCCTGAATGGATTAATTGTATTCACATTATTTCTTATGGTAAATATTACTTCAGTTTTTGTACATTTTGGATTTAGACCGACTTTCTGGAACAGATTAAGTATGAAATCCGAGGTTCCACTGTTTAGTAATCGAGCAGTCACACAGACGGGTGAACATGTCCACCTGCCTTGGTCACATACTGTTGTCTAAAAATATATACAAATTATAAGTCCCAGCAGTGTTTTTAGATGAGGTGGAGTATATAAAACTCATTGAAGCACAGTGTCAGTATCACTCTACATTGCTGATGGTGCAGTCACTCAACAGTGCACTGCACCATAAGAGTGGGGTTATGTCTTTTGTTTTTAGTGGCTGTGGGATGGACCCCTGTCCAGGCTACCTCTCTAGAATACTTAAGGCACATGAAAGGGGCTTCTTGCAATTCTTGATGAATACAGAGTTTTACAAGTCATGCCCTTGGGCAGAGTGCATGGGCATGTCATTTATTGCTTTTTCAAAGTCTTGTGATGTTAGGATAGTGTCAAATTTTTGAATTAACCAAATTTTGAGTCATAAGAAATCCATTTAGATTGTCGACCTTTAATCTGAGTAACGGCTTTAAACGCTGAGTCATGTTGGGACTTCAGTATCTCTCTCATTTCTTTTCTGTCATCTGTGTAAGTCCAATAGATCTTGTTTAAGCAGGAGTCCAATACTGGATGTTGTATTTGATCTAGATTTGGCATAAGAAAAGTACAGGTACCATCCGACTTATGACTGAGGTTGGTTCCAATCAACTGGTCGTAAGTCGAACCATACTACTGAATATCAATATCACATTTTTGTAATGACTTTATTTTGTTGCTTTATTTTGGTATTTCATTTTTTACTTTTTATGCTGTTAGTTCTGTATTTTATACTGTAAGGTTTAAGATAAACACTGTACAACACAAACAGTTGTTTATTTCCCATAAATTTGGCATAAAAAATGCGGTCGTAAGTCGAGTGGTTGTATGTCGAGCAGGTCGTAAGTCGGATGGTAGGTTTTGGTTTTCTTTCACTTTCATTTATGGCTTTAAGTTCTTCCTGTATTTTTTTTTGTCTCGTGTATGATTCCTTAAGCTGAAGTTCAGTATTTGCTATTTCTCTGGCCAGTGCCTCCTTTCATATTTCAGATATACTGGCCCTTTTCAGGAGCTTCATGATTTTTCGCCTTCGCCTGTATAATGAACGTCTCTCTCTAGTTTACAGCTCTTCTTTTTTTTCTTAAAGGAATGTACCTTGAGCATACCATAAGTACCACAAAGTTGATTCTTTCTAGACAAAGGTTGGGATCTGTGTTATTTAAGATATCTTTCCAGCTTGTTTCATTTAGGACATGGTTTTGATCCCACTATGCTTTTGTTATTAAAGTTGAATTTGGTGAAGGCACCTTCATAACTGATCTTTTGCTGGTCAGGACCCCTGCAGATACATGTCTGTACTTCTGTTATGTTATGATCTGAGTGTATTGTCTTTGATACTATTATATTTTGTATGAGATCATTATACGTGAGGATGAGGTAAAGTGTATTTTCCAGTCTTGTTTGCTCCACTATTTGTTGGCTTAAGGTGAATTTGTTGCAGAGATTTAATGGGTCGTGTGTACTCCGTGAATTTTCATCTGAGCTGCCTCCTGGGGTTATCTCTTGATAAAACATTATTTGCTGCATGTCTCCATTTTAGGTGTCTTACATTGAAATTGCCCATCTACAAGATGTTTGATGCAGGAGTTGGGAGATTTTCCAGACGGTGGTCAGTTTTCAAAAGCTGTTCCTGGAATTCTTGGGAAGTCAGATCAGGAGGCTTGTATACAGCCACAATGACAGGGTTTTGATTTTTGATCTTTACTGCCAAAACTTTAACTACATCGTTTAACCCTTTCACTGTCGGTCCCGTAATATTACGGCTTGCAAGCCAGTGTCGGTCCCATAATAGTACGCCAAAATTCTAGCAGCTTCCAATCTTGCGGGAGATAGCTGGTTGGCCTACATATGAGAGTGGGTCTGAGTGGTTAGTGTGCACATACAAAAAAATCCTGCAGCACACAGTTCATAATGAGAAAAAACTTTGACAGTGAAAGGATTAAGGTGTTTAGTAATTCTGAGGAAATGAGCCACTCTGACATACAGGCCAATCCCCTTCCCCCTTGTTGCCTGTTAATTCTGTTGCATCTGAATAAGTTATGTAACTTGGGATGCATATTTCCTTGTCATAGTGATCCTTTGTGAGCCTCTGTGAAAGCCACAAACATTGCATTTGACTCTGTGAGTAATCCACTGATGAAAGGTATTTTGGTGTTTGTTGATGGCTTTAGACCCTGTGTGTGTATTTGCAAAGATAAATGTATTGATGATATATAGGGAGGCCCTGTTTGCTGGTACTAATATCTGTTGTTCTGGAGTGGAGACCACTAACTGTGCCTATACTCCAGTAGTGGTCTGAGGTAGTGTAATATTTCTGTCATTTCTTGCTAACTTTTCTTCCTGGCATTAAAAATTCACTGTTCCTGGAGTGGTTGTAACTACCCTGGTTCGTTCTCTGTGGTCTGTATCTTCTTGCCCTCTTTAACCCTTTCAGGGTCCTCAGGCCCTCTCCCTGACTTGTTCTCAGGATCGCCCAAATGTCAAAAAAAAAAAAAAAAAAAAAATCTTATGAAAAGAAAGAGAATCTTTTCCCAATCATAATGACACCAAAAGTATGAAATTTGATGGAAAACTTTGGGAACTATGCTCTCATGATGTTAGCGGTCTCGACAATGTTTACGCATCGGCGATTTTGCCCACTTTGAGCCCTATTTTCGGCCAATTCCAGTGTACTAGTCGACAAAAATCATAACTATTTTGCTGGAACTCCATTTTTTTTCTATCGAATGAGTACAAGAAACCACCCATTTACCAATTTCAACTATCCAATACAGTGATCAGAATTTAGCAATTTTGCCAATTTCACACAAATTTCAAAAGATGCCAATTTCCAAATAGGGTCCAGAATAAACAAGAAAGACATTCCTGGCACTAAAATAACATTTCCTCTGTTCATTAGTCATGTCCCCACGCCCCTCTTACATTATTTTGCTTTCCACTTTGAATTTTTATTCTCACAAAAAATAGCAGATTTACTGTTATGCAGACTACTGCATTAGTGTAGAAATGGTGTAAATAATATCGGCGCCCTTGTGAAAGAATATTAGACTCGCCATTTGACGTGTATTGGACGCTTAGCACGATTTGTTTACTGTTGAACTTTGGTAAAAATTGAACATTTCTGCTACTTTGAGCTCAATTTCAAGGTACTTTTCATTGTAAAACCAGTCAAAATCATCTCAATTTCTGTAATATGTCTTTCAATCTATAAAATGAGACCAGGAAAACTAGAATACAACAATAAATACCATACAAAAATACAGTGCAAAGTCTCTGTTTTAATCCAAAAACACGGTCAGTTTTTTTTTTCTCATTACGCACTGTGCTGCAGGATTTTTTTTTATACTACGCACACTGACCACATAGACCCATTCTTTCATATGTAGGCCTACCAGCTTTCTCTCACTAGATTTGAGGGCGCTAGAATTTAGGCGTACTAGTACGTCAAAAACCCTGGTGTGTAAGCCGTACTAGTACGTCCGAAACTCTGAAAGGGTTAAATGGTGTGCCTGACAGTATGTGCTGTAGCATTTTCTTGCATGGACTGAAATAAGAAAAGAACTTATTTTGCCCTTAAATCAAGTGCTGCATCTTGACATTTATTACTAAAGTGTTTTACAAAAAGTAAGAAAAATGGAATGTTCATGGAGTTTTTGATGATATTCTAGCAGAAAATATATAGAAGAATTTATTTCTGTCTGGGTTTTGCATGTCCCAAAAATAGTAAATATATTCATTTTGTCATATATGTTCTTTTCCCTTGTAGACCTTCTAGAAGAAGCCATGAAACGTGGTATAGTAACCCTAGAGATGACAGATGGGCAGTCTTCATTGTTTTGCAAGTTGTGCAACATTAGTTGCACTGGTGAGGCTAGCATGAATCAACATCTTGAAGGAGAACCTCACTGTAAAAAACAGAGGTGAGTATGGTTTATAATTTGATAATGAGTCAGAGGCTCTACTGGTCTTTTCTGCCTATTAAATGAACATACAAGATTTTGAAGAACCCCTTCTTTATAAATTACTAAATGCAAAAAGAAGAAACTTTACAGTTTTCTTCTTTCTTGGGTCACCCTACCTTGGTGGGAGACAGCTGGTATTGCAACTATTATGTTGCCTCATGACTACTTCATTACTATTACAACTATTTTGTTGCTTCATCACAACTACTGCAACTCTCATGTTGCTTCACATTGACTAATGCTATTTGACCAGTTAAACAGTTCTGTTAGTCACTGAGTACCTGGTATATCATCTGCTTGTTCAAAGCTACTTTACTTCTAGTAAACTTTATGCATCTCCTGCACAGGCTAAGCGATATCCAAGTTTACTAAAAGTGGAGGTGACTTAATGTTGAAACTGGAGACATCTGTCGGACTCCAGTTTAGGCAACTGGTGGTATGGCGGGTAGTGGTGAGGTTAGGCCTATATGAGCTGACACTGTTACACATTTCCCTTTGATATTTCCCTCTCAATTATGCAGTGTGTTTATCAAGGAAAAGCTTTCATTTTCACTGTACTATACTGGGATCATTGTATTATGCACTGCACACACAAGGCTGACTGAGCATAAGGCCTGTGAGGGTAACATTTTCCTCTCGCCCACTTCACATCTAATGTTTATTAGATTATGCTCTTGTCAAGTAGATGGACAGGTATTTCTTCCAACTAGGCAACTCCCTTAACTATTGTTACATAGTTTATCCAGTTCTCGTTAAGCACTCCAATGATAATCAATTTTGATAAAAAAAAATTGTCGTTTGGGTAAATTTCCAAACATATTGATACATTGACAAAAGGAGTGTCATTTTACCCCCTGTAAACTTGTACACCTTAAAATGTTTTGTCCATCAGTCCATGAAAAACAATGCTACACACACTGTCCTGCATACCATTTGAAAGGGACCAAGAGGTGCAGACACCACAAACCCTGGGAAACTAAACATGATAGTAACCATTCATTAGTGCCAGAAAGTAGAAAAAATGGCAGCAAATTACAGAAATATTCCACCACCTAGGAGTCTTGTTAGACTGGAGGTTCAGTCAGTGGCCCCCTACTCCAGAACCACAGATATTAGTGCCAACAGAAAAAAAGCCTCCAAAAAGCCCCTTTGTATATTTGTAAATACATCATTTGTATTTGCAAATGTACTAGGCCTTAAGCCATCCACCAACAACAAAAGTACCTCCCATCAGTGGAATTATCATGAAGTCAAATGTGATATTTGAAACTTTCGCTGAGTCTCACACAAAAGATCACATTGACAATGAAACATGGATAACAAGGTACAGCTTACTGTAGATGCTACAGAAAGAACAGGCAACAAGGGGGAAGGGGTTGACCTGTACATCAGTTGCTTATCTGCACACAGTTACTAAACACTACAAATGATATTGAAATTTTGGCAGTAAAGATTGGGAGCTAAAACCTAGTCATTGTGGTTGTATATAAGCCACCAGATGCAACATATCAACAGTTCAAGGAACAACTTTTAAAAATCTTCAAACCCCAGCCCCAAATATCTTGTTGCTTGGCAATTTCAGTTGCAGGCATTGAAAATGGAACAACATAGAAAATAATGTTATAGCAGAGATAATCCCAGGAGGCAGTTCACATGAAAATAATCACACAAGTTAGTTTGAGTCTAATAAGTATACCTTAAGCCAGCAAATAGTGAAGCTAACAAGACTGGAAAATTCACTTGCCTTATTTTCACAAATAATAATGACCTGGTATGAAATAAAACAGTAGTATAAACAGTTAGTTCATATCACAATCTAATTGAAGCTCAGACTTGGATGCACAGGGGGCCTAAAAGCAAAATGCAGTTATGAAGGTAGCTTCACCAAAGTTAACAGTGAGAATATCAACAGGGATAAAATAAATCATCTTAACCCAAAAACTGTCCAAATGTAGATCTGTGTTTTCACTGCCAGCTCACTGAATATTTTTGAAAAAAAAAAAAATAAGTTTGAAGAGGGCAATTTTTTGTTATAAAAAAAAAATTAGGACACTGCAAAGTTGGCGCTGGATGCTCACCTGATGGCAACAGTCCTGCCGCTTGCAGAAGTATTGCTGATGTACCTTTTGTTGTTGTTTTTTTTTTATGTTCTGATAATTACAATTTATAATAGTTCTTGTAATTTCATGGTCAGTCTTTCTGACACTAATATTAGGTACTGAAATAGTACTAAAATACGTAGTCACAATCACACCGACAGGTGAACATTTTCACCTACCTTGGTCATTTACTAGTGTCTAGAAATATATACAAATTATTTATAGGTCTCAGCAATGTTTTAGACATGCTGGAGTATATATGAAACTTCTTGAAGCATGGCATTATGACGAGTGTCAGTAAACTGCTGACAGTGCAGGGACACTTGATGAACGTGCAGTACAGTGACACTTGAACGTGCACTGCTCCAGGGAACCCTGGCTTTGTTTTCACTGTTACATACAAACATGTCTGTCTGTGTAGCTCTGTTTATATGTCTTTCTGTCTCCCTGTGTGTCTTTTTGTTTGCTTGTGTCTCAGGGAGCGGCTCATTAACCTGTTGGTTTGGATGAAATTTAATTACATGTACACATCTGGTTATCTTTATTGTAGACGTTTCGCCATCCAGTGGCTTTATCAATACAGATTCAAGGACATAATAGAAGACAGTAGAACTATATACAAAAGATGAGGTAATCAGTCCCTCAGCCTTGGAGTTGGTGTTGAGAGCACCGTGGTCGTAAAGATTCTGGAGCAAAGGCAAGGAGACTGGCATTTATATAGGTGTCAGTGGATAGGGACGTGTAGCAGACGAGGGCATAGTCACAGTGCTTTCAACACCAACTCCAAGGCTTATTACCTCATCTTTTGTATATAGTTCTACTGCACACACTGAGTATTAAGACCCAAGACCCATTCTATACTGACCATGCATCTCAGGCCATTCATACCAAATTTGGAGGCAGGAAAAATAAAATGTATTTTTACATTTGGAGCGCTAGTGGTACAAACGTAATCTACGTTTGGACAGTTTAAGGGATAAGTAAAATAAATCTAGAATTAGGACTTTTTTCACATGTCTGTCTGACTAGCAATGTTTGTTTGTCTGTCTGTCTCCCTGTGTGTGTCTGTCTGTCTCCCTATGTGTGTTTATCTCCCTGTGTGTGTCTTTGTCTGCCTGTGTATCTTCTGTCTACTTGCCTCTCTTGTCTCAGTTTCTCATGAACCAACTGGTATTACACACGATCACATCTGATTCCTGAACAAGTGAAAATGTGTATTACTTTCAGTTGCCAGTCATGCTTATTATGCATTATATATCTACAAACCCAGTATAGCACTTTGTCTGGATTTTTTGGGTTATCCTAGGTAATTTACACTGTATAATTGTATTCGCTTATGTATATCTGAGAGACAGAGACAGATAGATACAGACAGATAGAGATAGAGACAGCCAATCAGCCAGCCAGCCTACTGAACACGTATTACACATTCCAGAATTTTCTTTTTCTTGGATGACACTAGAAGTGGTACCAAAATTGAGTGGGTGTTGCACACGGGTTATTATCAAAGTTTTTGATATTTCTGCGACTACTTGTGGCCACATCCACCTCAAAGCCACTAAACTTATGGACATCATCACTTTCCTCTTAAAAGGGGAGTGTTAATACGACATGACAGCAGTGAATCCTCAGTGTTTGCCACGCTGTTTGCTCTAGACGGCGCTCAATTGAACTGGTGTTCCACAAGATACGAAATGGTCCCAGATTTTTTTAATACTGCACACACCAAGTGTTAAGACCCATTCTCTGCTGACCAGGCATCTCAGGCCAATCGTGCCAAATTTGGAGGTAGGAAAAATAAAACGTAGATGTGCGTTTAGAGTGCTAGCGGTAAGAACGTAGATCTACGTTTGGACAGTTAACGGGTTAATGAAACGTGCTGGTAAAATGTAAAGGACATGGATCTAAACTAGGGTCTAGAAAGGATCAACTCTGTGGCAGTTGAAGTATGGTCAAAGCACATTCCCCTAAGGAAAAAGAGGAGATGTAAACTAGATAGGGAGGGATGTTCCCTCTACAAGCTGACTAGGGGAAATAGAAAATATTGAATTTAAATTAAATAAATCTTACAGGGCTCAGGGGAGATAGGAGCTAAAAGCCACAAATGAAATTGAAAGAAATCTCAAATATTTCTTTTCTTATGCCAAAAACAAAGGAAAAACTACATCCAGTATCAGGCCTTTGCTTAAACAAGATGGGATTTGCACTGATGACAGCAAAGAAATGAGTAACATACTGAAGTCTCAAAATGACCTTGCATTTAGTGGCCTGTTCAGCAGACTCAAGATTGACATTGTGAATGATTTTTTTTCTTTAATGAAAGATACCCAAAGTTTACATAAACATCTCAAAATTTGACATAACCCTAACACCACTGGACTTTGAAAAAGCCATTGACAACATGTCTATGCTCTCTGCCCCAAGTCCAGACTTTTATAACTGTGTTCCTTGAGAACTGCAAGAAACCCCTGCAGTGTGTCTTGTGTATGGTATGGAGAGGGAGCCTTGACACAGGCCATCCCATTTTCTTAAAGCAATGGATATTTTCCCACTCCACAAGGTGGCAGCAAAACAGTAACAAAGAATTAGACCAATACATAGTTCTAACGTCCCATGTCATAAAAATCTTTGAAAGGGTTTATTACAACCCAGGAGTCCCAAAGGCCTGTTATCCTGGGTGTAAAGGGAGCAAAATAAACACAGCAGAAAAAACTTTTGACTTGTATTATCCTTCAAGTAAGAACAGAATTATGTACATTATATATGGGTGTGAAGCTTGGTTGTAAATGCTGCAGCGAGGAGGCGGTTGGAGGCAGTGGAGATGTACTGCCTAAGGGCAATTGTGTGGTGTAAATATTACGCAGAAAATTCGGAGTGTGGAAATTAGGAGGTGTGGAGTTAATAAAAGTATTAGTCAGAGGGCTGAAGAGGGTGTGTTGAGGTGGTTTGGTCATTTAGAGAGAATGAATCAAAGTAGAATGACATGGAGAACGTATAAATCTGTAGGGGAAGGAAGGCGAGATAGGGGTCGTCCTCGAAAAGGTTGGGGGAGGGGATAAAGGTGGTGTTGTGGGCGAGGGGTTTGGGGATAAAGGTGGTGTTGTGGGCGAGGGGTTTGGACTTCCAGCAAGCGTGCATGAGCATGTTAGATAGGAGTGAATGGAGACAAATGGTACTTGGGACCTGGCGAGCTGTTGGAGTGTGAGCAAGGTAATATTTAGTGAAGGGATTCAGGGAAACTGGTTATTTTATATAACCAGACTTGAGTCCTGGAAATGGGAAGTACAATGCCTGCACTCTAAAGGAGGGGTTTGGGATATTGGCAGTTTGGAGGGGTATATTGTGTATTTTTATACGTACATACTTCTAAACTGTCGTATTCTGGGCAACTCTGCAAAAACAGTGATTGTGTGAGTGAGGTGAAAGTGTTGAATGATAATGAAAGTATTTTCTTTTTGGGGATTTTCTTTCTTTTTTGGGTCGCCCTGCCTCGGTGGGAGATGGCAGAGTTGTTAAAAAAAATATATATATACACTATGTACAACAATAGGTATTAGTGCACTCCAAGGTAAGCAAGGCAGAATAGAAGCCACTACTAAAGAGCAGACTGTGCTTCAACCAGCTCTAGATTGGTAATGACAAGGGCAGACAGGTGTGTGGTACCCACAACACCTCTGCGATTGCCAAAACCATCTTTTATTGGCTGGAACGTGGGTACTGATTGAACAATGGGGCCCCATCGTTAACCCTTAGCACCTGGTTCACTGGTTGGGGAGATAGCCTTTCAATGAGGGTGTGTACATGCGCCAAATAAAGGTTACGTACTCTTTGCATGCCACAGGTTTCTAAAAAATGCAAAATCACCAACCATTTGGATTCCCAACAATTGCACAACCCATGGCAGCATGAGTTCAAATTCTCTCTCTCCTGCCTCTCACAGCTACTGGACCACTGTGACATGGTCTTGGATACACTGCAGGACAAACAGGATGTAGATATATACACACTTTGCAAATACCTTCGACAGGTGCAGTAGTTGAGTAATAGCACACGAAAGGCAGTCTTAGGAGAAAATAACCGGGAAAGTGGGCAGGTGTATATTCAGCTTTCTATCCAAGAGAACACAAAGAGTAATAGTAAACAGAGTTAAGTAAAATGCTGCCACAGTGAAAAACTGTTCCACAAGGTATATTACTCTCCCTCATCCTTTTCCTTGTCTATATATGACATGTACGGAGATGCAAACTATAGCACCATGTCTTCCTTGGCAGACAATACTAGAATGTGCATGAAAGTGTCATCCATTAAGGACACTAAATCTTCAAGTAGATGTAAACCAAGTCTTCCAATGATGTTCAGTGAAGACAAATTCCAGCTACTCCATTATGGAAGACTTTAGGAATTAAAAGGTAGAACAAATTATAAGACAAATTCTAACCACACAATAAAGCAAAAAACTAATGTGAATATGTAACATGTTTATAACTGACTCTAATGTGAAGGACAAGAGTGATAATGTCAGAGGATCTCGCCTTCAAGGACCACGACAGTATCACTATCACATTTTGGGAAAAAAAGGATAGGATGAATAATCAGAACCTTGAAAACAAGGGATACCAAGCCAGTGATGATCCTCCTTAAGTCACTTACTCTGTCTAGGCTGGAATATTGTTGCACACTAAAAGTCCCTTTCAAGGTAGACAAAAATGGAAATCTGGAGAATGTAGAGAGGCCCTTCCTTGCACATATATGTTCAGTACTGGGAATGTTTGAAGTTTCTCTGACCTGTACTCTTTGGAACACAGATGAGAAAGGTACATCATAATTTACACCAGGAAAATCCTCAAGGGACTGATTCCAAATTAGCAAACACAAATCACTGTGAAAGCAAAAGACTCGGCAGATGGTGGAACATCCCTCCAGTGAAAAGCAAAGGTGCCATGAATACAGTTAGAAAACACTGCATCGGGAGCCCAAGGCTGTTCAACTGAATTCCACCATAAATAAGGAGGATTGCCAATAGACCCCTGTTTGTCTTCAAGAGGGAACTGGACAGATACCTAAAGTCAGTGTCTGAGCAGCCAGACTGTGGTTTGTACATTGGATTCCATGTGGCAAGCAGTGCCAGCCTAGTTGATCAGACTGATCTACTGTGAGGCCTGATCATGGACTGTGCCACGGAGTTGTTAGACGCCTGAAACTCCCTCCAGTTACATTTTTCCAGAAGTGTGTTGACATTACAGATTATCCCTCTGACTGCAAAATCCTTACTACTACAGAGTACAGGCACTACCCTTTCCTCATCCAGGACTCAAGACTGGCTATTCTGTCCAAAGTCTGTCTCCTTTATATATGATTAATTAGTGCTATTGTATGTTATAATAGTTTAAGTTGGCATTAGCCTATCCTAACATAAGTAGCATATGTAGAGAACTGTGTAAAGTTCATATAGTACAGTACAAAACCAGTTAGAACATGTTGCTAGTGGGTTATAATAGGCAATAGAGCTTACCCATATAATAGTGAGTATAAATCCTGCTTCCAGCTTGACTTAGTACACTACAGTGAATGTTTACATATTTATTCATTTATCACATTAATATTTTAAGTACTTTTTATCCCATGGTAATTCATGAAATTGTAGTTTGAATATAATAAGCTGAGTTATAATTAACAAGTGACAGAATAAATGTTGTAGCTATTTAGTCAGGTTTTCAGTTCCCAAGAAAAGAAGTTTAACAAAGTTAATATAAATTTTTGAATAAAGAAATTACTGCTATAATTGAATAAATACCATTTGAGGCTGAAGAATGTTAGATTGGATGAAACTTTTTTGCTGACAAAGGACCTTTCTCTAGGAGGATGGGCTTAGAAGGCAAAGTCTCTTCACTGTCCAAACCAGATGAGATGACAGCCTTATCTCAAAGAAGTCTCTCTCCAACATTGCAGTCATCAGCAGATACTGGAGGTGAGAGATTTAAATCCTGAAAATCTATTGGTTCCTCTTCCAGAGGTTGGCTATTAAATTTTCTAATTGTATGAATTCTTGATTTTATTTTTCAATTTCTTTGTTCCAGGATGAGTATAACTAGCTAAATAATGGAAACCAAAATGCTGAAAGTGTATTTTAAGCATAGCTGAAATTATTATATGCCATATTACATAGTAGCTTGAATATATCAGAAAAACTTCTTGAGGACTTGTAAACTAAAATCATTTTAAAGTTAAATTTTAATTTCAGACATACTTAAGAGTGCTGTAGAAGATGGCATTGTAAAGTACATAGGAGGAATAAGCACACCTTACACTTGCACAGTTTGTAATACATTCTTAAATGGAGAAACACCAATGAAGCAGCATCTCTTAGGTAACAGTCATCAGAAGAAAATAAGGTAAGAATTCAAATTAAAAGCTGGGTTAATGCGTTTCTGTATGATCAGTGGTGAAAGGAACAGGCAAGGCAGCGATGAATGTGGGTCAGTAGTCCTTGAACAGCAACAGCCTGGTTGATCTGGTATGTCAGAAAAGTCTTACCCCAGGCCATGCCATGGGAGTAGAAAGACTTGAAACTGGCCACAGTTGTATTTCAGGTATATGAAGGGATTTCTAGAGCAAGAGACCATTAGGTTATTGTTAAAGAAAGTACTGTATAATGCAATCAGAGGGTGTTTGTTGTTAGGTAGTAAAGATGTTACAATCCACTGCATATGTTGGAGTGGAGAGGAGGCAACAGTGGCAGTAGCATGGCAGATGAGAAAATGGCTTGTTTAGTATTACAAAAGACTTTTTTCAATGGCTCTAATGGCATAAACTGTACAAGCCTATAGCTAGTGTTTGGTAACACTAGGCCACAAGTTGGTAACCAGCTTCCCCCCTCTGTCCTCCCTCCCAAAAAAGGGTAAGTACTCATTGATTGCTAGTAACTTTGGATGGGAACAGTGGTTGACAATTAACAAGTGGGGACAGTGTGAGAATTTAGGCGGGATTGAGGGTTTCTCTAGATTTAATGTATTTGATAGTAGTATTTTAAATGATTTGTTTTGTCTGGGTTTGGAATAGTGGTGGAGGAAAAGCAAATGGGGTCCAGGGGAAATCCATGCACTGTATATGCATTATATATATTTTTTAATGCATCAGCCATTTCCCAATGATGCAGGGTGACCCAAAAAAGAAGGAACACTTTCATCATCATTCATTCCATGACTCTTGCCAGAGGTTTAAAAATTGTAACATAGTCTCACCCCTCCTTCAGAGTGCAGGCACTGTACTTCTCACCTTCAGGACTCAAGTCCAGCTAACTGGTTTCCCTGAATCCCTTCATAAATGTTACTTTGCTCACACTCCAACAGCATGTCAATTCATAAAAACCATTTGCCTTCACTTGCTCCTATCTAACACACTCATGTACACTTGCTGGACATTTAAGCTCCATGTACACAAAGCCTTCTTTACTCCCTTTCTCCAACCTTTCCTAGGAAGACCCCCTACTCTGCTTTCCTTCCACTACAGATTTATATTCTTCCAAGTCATCCCATTTTCTTCCATTCCCTCTAAATGTCTCGACCACCTCAACCAACCCCTCTTCAGCCCTCTGGATAATACCCCGCACCTGATCTCCAAGCTGCAGATCCTCTGCATAATCGCACTACACATTGCACTCGGATACACCTCCACTGCATTATATTTTCTTCTTCTTTCTTTCAACACACCGGCCGTATCCCACCGAGGCGGGGTGGCCCAAAAGAAAAAACCAAAGTTTCTCCTTTCAAATTTAGTAATATATACAGGAGAAGGGGTTACTAGCCCCTTGCTCCCGGCATTTTAGTCGCCTCTTACAACACGCATGGCCTACGGAAGAAGAATTCTGTTCCACTTCCCCATGGAGATAAGAGGAAATAAACAAGAACAAGAACTAGAAAGAAAATAGAAGAAAACCCAGAGGGGTATGTATATATACGCTTGTACATATACAGTATGTGTAGTGTGACCTGAGTGTAAGTAGAAGTAGCAAGACGTACCTGAAATTTTGCATGTTCATGAAACAGAAAAAAGGACACCAGCAATCCTACCATCATGTAAAACAATTACAGGCTTTCGTTTTACACTCACTTGGCAGGACGGTAGTACCTCCCTGGGCGGTTGCTGTCTACCAACCTACTACCTAGGTGCATTATATTTATACTTTAAAATATGCTCATACTTTCTTAACTTTGAATTCTGTTTAATAAAATTACATGAATCAAAATGAAGTTTAAGAACATTTTTGTTCCATTAGTGATTTTTTTTATACAAAATAGCCCTTGGGCCCTCACACCTAGGGGCTCATGGGGTAACAGCTGCTTTTGCCCTTATTTTAGCCCTCAGCTGGTCTATAATATAGCTGAAAGGCACGAAATTAACTGTAATTTTTTTCCCCTAACAGGATCAGTCAGCAAATGGGATTGAATACAGCATCCTCCTCATGTAGTACCCCTCCATCATTGAAGTCTACATATTCTGCAATAGGGGCAGAGAGTCCCAGTACATTTGATAATGCTAATCCATCCACAGGTCAGTTACTGTCATTATATAAATACTGTGATTGTTCCTTTTTTATTGACATAGGCTTCAGTGAGAGGGAAATAGTTTTACAAATGCTGAAGTATCACTGTTTATAGTCCATATTATGAATTCATACCTGTGCCATTGCAAGGAATATTGAGGTTTGAATAGCAATGACAGACCTGTAAACAGGTCATCATAAGATTGCTGATATCTTCCTCTCGCTGTTAATTTTACCAATAAATGCATTAAATTAAAACTTTTTATTTTTTCAACAAGTCGGCCATCTCCCGCCAAGGCAGGGTGACCCAAAAAGAAAGAAAATCCCCAAAAAGAAAATACTTTCATCATCATCATTCAACTTTTCACCTCACTCACACATAATCACTGTTTTTGCAGAGGTGCTCAGAACAACAGCTTAGAAGCATGTACGTATAAAGATACACAACATATCCCTCCAAACCGCCAATATCCCGAACCCCTCCTTTAGAGTGCAGGCATTGTACTTCCCATTTCCAGGACTCGAGTCCGGCTATATAAAAATAACCTGTTTCCCTGAATCCCTTAACTAAATACAGTGGACCCTTGCTTAACGATATTAATCCGTTCCTGAGAGCTCAACGTTAGGCGAAATTATCGTTAACCGAATTAATTTTCCCCATAAGAAATAATGGAAATCAAATTAATCCATTCGTGACACTCCAAAGTATGAAAGAAAAACTTTTAACAAATGAAATATTAATTTTAATACACACAAACTGAAGAAGACATATACACTTACATGACACTTACTTTTATTGAAGATCTGGTGATGATTGATGGGATGGGAGGGGAGAGTGTGGATGGTGTTAATGTTTAGAAGGGGAATCCCCTTCCATTAGGACTTGAGGTGGCAAGTCCTTTTCCAGGGTAACTTCCCTTCTTCTTTTAATGCCACTAGGACCAGCTTGAGAGTCGCTGGACCTCTGCCGCACAACATATCTGTCCATAGAGGCCTGTACCTCCCGTTCCTTTATGACTTTCCTAAAGTGGTTCACAACATTGTCAGTGTAATAGTCACCAGCACGGCTTGCAATAGCTGTGTGAGGGTGATTTTCATCAAAGAAAGTTTGCACTTCAAGCCACTTTGCACACATTTCCTTAATCTTTGAAGTAGGCAACTTCCTCAATTTCTCTATCCCCTCCTCCGGAGCAGTTTCCTCAGGTCTGAGGAACTGAAGAAACTGCTCAGAACCTCAGGGTCTGAGCACCTCTGCAAAAACAGTGATTATGTGTGAGTGAGGTGAAAGTGTTGAATGATGATGAAAGTATTTTCTTTTTGGGGATTTTCTTTCTTTTGGGTCACCCTGCCTCGGTGAGAGACGGCCAACTTGTTGAAAAAAAAAAAAATATATGTATGTATATATATGCTTGTACATGCAAGTGTAGTGTGACATAAGTGGAAGTAGAAGTAGAAGTAGTAAGACATACCTGAAATATTACATATAGTAATATTTCAGGTGTGGGGTTAAAAGATCAAGAATCTAACACAAAGTGGGAGTTGTCACAGTTGCTCTTTGCTGATGAATTTACTTTTGGGGGATTCTGAAGAAAAGTTGCAGAGGTTGGTTTATGAGTTTGGCAGGGTATGTAAAAGGAGGAGGTTAAAATTGAATGTAGGAAAGAGTAAGGTAACGAGGATAACAAAAAATTAGGTAATGGAAGATTGGATATCAGATTGGAGGAAGAGAGTATGGAGGAGGTGAATGTGTTTAGATATTTGGGAGTGGACATGTCAGCAGATGGGTCTATGAAGGATGAGGTGAATCATAGAATTGACAAGGGGAAAAAGATGAGTGGTGCATGAAAGCAAAGAGGGGAATATGTGAGTATAGTTATACCAACACTTGTATGGGTGTGAGGCTTGGGTTGTGAATGTTGCAACAAGGAGAAGGCTTGAGGCAGTGGAGATGTCATGTCTGAGGGCAATGTGTGGTATGAATATAATGCAGAGAATCCATAGTTTGGAGATTAGGGGGAGGTGTGGGATTACCAAAACTATTATCCTGAGGGCTGAGGAGGGGTTATTGAGATGGTTTGGACATGTAGAGAGGATGGAACGAGATAGAATGACTTCGAGAGTATACAAATCTGTAGTGGAGGGAAGGCGGGGTAGAGGTTGGCCTAGGAAAGGTTGGAGGGAGGGGATAAAGGAGGTTTTGTGTGCGAGGGGCTTGGACTTTCAGCAAGCGTGCGTGAGCTTGTTAGACAGGAGCGAATGGAAACAAATGGTTTTTAGGACTTGACATGCTGTTGGAGTGTGAGCAAAGTAACATTTATGAAGGGATTCGGGGAAACTGGCAGGCCGGACTTGAGTCCTAGAGATGGGAAGTACAGTGTCTGCTTTCTGAAGGACTGGTGTTAACCCTTTTAGGGTCCGTGCCGTAGATCTACGGCTGTACGTTGAGGGTCCAAACTGTAGATCTACGCCATGAGCTCAGCTCACTCTGATCAGCTGTGAGCAGTAAATTTGGGCCTAGATATGAGAGAATACATCTATGTGGTATGTGTGCACTACGTAAAACAAATCCTGCAGCACACAGTGCATAATAAGATAAAAAAAACTGAGACCGTAATTTTCAGTTAAAACAGCGACTTTGTGTTTTTTCGTATGTTTTTTATAGTTGTATTTACGATTTCTTGGTGTCATTTGATAGAATGGAAGATATATTACAGAAATAGAGATTTTGATTGGTTTTAGTAATGGAAATGGCTTGAAACTGAGCTCAAAGAAGCAGAAATGTTCAATTTTTGTCGATGTTCAAGAATAAACAAATGACCTCACACGTCTAATACACGCCAGCTGGTGGGTCTAATGTATGTTCACAAATGTGGTGATATTATTTATACAATTATTACAATATTGCATATCAGTAAATCTTCTATTTTTTGGTTTGAATAAAATTCATTACGTGACTAAAAAATATAAATGGAATTCATTTGTAAAGCCTGAAAACGTATCTAATGAGCAGAGGAAATGTTAGTTTAGTGCGAGGAATGCCAGCATTGTTTATTCTGGACCCTATTTTGAAATTAGAATACAGTGGACCCCCGCATAACGATCACCTCCGAATGCAACCAATTATGTAAGTGTATTTATGTAAGTGCGTTTGTATGTGTATGTTTGGGGGTCTGAAATGGACTAATCTACTTCACAATATTCCTTATGGGAACAAATTCGGTCAGTACTGGCACCTGAACATACTTCTGGAGTGAAAAAATATCGTTAACCGGGGGTCCACTGTATTTTGAACTTTGCATTAAATTGGACAAATTACTAATTTCCAATCACTTTATTTTGTAGTTGAAACAGTTGACTTGGCTATTTCTTGTGCTCACTCAATAGAATGGAAGTAATACTAGTGAAATAGCTAAGAATTTGGTCGACTGGAATAATGTAATTGGCTTATAATGGGAGTCAAAGTCGGCAAAATAGCTGATTCGTAAATATCGTTGACACATCAAAATTCGCGAGAGCATAATTTCGTCAGTTTTCCATCAAATTTCATAGTTTTGGTTTTATTATCTTCAGAAAAAGATTCTCTAGCATTTCATAAGAAAAAATGACAAAATTATTTTTTGAAAATTCTTGGACCCTGGTGTGCACTTGGAAATTTGGCCTCTAGACCCTGAAAGGGTTAATGTTGCAGTTTTATAACTGTAGGCATGCCTCTGGCAAGACAGTGATGGAGTGAATGATGAAAGTTTTTCTTTTTCGGACCACCCTGCCTCAGTGGGAAATGGCTGATGTGTTAATAAAAAAAAAAAAAAATTGAGATAGACACCAGCAGTCCTACCATCATGTAAAACAGTTACAGGCTTCTGTTTTACACTGGCTTGGCAGGACGATAGTACCTGGCTGGTTGCTGTCCGATACATCTATACATATAAATGATAATGCCAATAACCTCAACATGCTAAACAGCTTATCCAAGATAAACAATGCTGGGAAATGGTAGCCCACACTTTGGCCAATGAGAACAAATATAGAACAGCAATAGTATCCATCAAACACCCCAAGTGGGCATAATAAATCTCAGTACCCAGTCAAAGTCCCTGTTACAATGCTAGGCAGTGTAATTACCGTGCACCCTGACTGTGACAGTGCACAGCTAACTGGCTATGTAGAATATCGTGAGCTAAGCTCTGGACATCAAGGTATGCCTTGTGCATCCTGCAGCAATACAGCTGAGAATGATCCTTATGAGGTAAACCCCACAAGAAAACTAGTACATCTTCTGACTTGCCACCAGAGATGAGTAAGAATACAGTGGACCCCCGCATAGCGACTTTAATCCGTGCAAGAGGGCTGATTGTTATGCAAAATGTTCGGTATGTGAATGAATTTTCCCCATAAGAAATAATGGAAATCAAATTAATCCGTGCAAGACACCCAAAAGTATGAAAAAAAATCTTTTACCACATGAAATATACATTTTCCTACACACAAAGAGAAGGATACATGCACAATAGTAGAGTAGTACATGCACAATATATATTGTGCATGTACTACTCTACTAAATGAAGAATAAATGACACTTACCTTTATTGAAGATGCAGCAATGACTGATGAGACACTGTGTCCTGGGAGTGCCTTTTCCTCCTGAGTACTGTAGGTCCTGTTTGGCATTTTCTTCCAGAACAGGCCTTATCACACTGTGTATGCCACTACGATTCTTAAATCTCTCAAACCAACCTTTGCTGGCTTTAAATTCACCAATATGAGCACTAGTTCAGGCATTTTTCCCTGTCTCACCTGGGTGTTAGTCGACTGGTGTGGGTTGCATCCTGGGAGACAAGATTAAGGACCCCAATGGAAATAAGTTAGACAGTCTTCGATGACACTGACTTTTTTGGGTTATCCTGGGTGGCAATCTCTGGGGTTAATTGTTTCTTGGTATTCTCAATAAGCACACCAACAACGGTGTGTACAGCAGCAGCAGCAGCTGACGGTGGTACAGCCAGCAACAGACGATGCTACAGCAGCAGCAGACGATGCTACAGCAGCAGCAGACGATGCTACAGCAGCAGCAGACGATGCTACAGCAGCAGCAGACGATGCTACAGCAGCAGCAGACGATGCTACAGCAGCAGCAGACGATGCTACAGCAGCAGCAGACGATGCTACAGCAGCAGCAGACGATGCTACAGCAGCAGCAGACGATGCTACAGCAGCAGCAACAGCTACAGTGGTCAACAGCAGCAGCAGCTGAGGTGGTACAACAGCAGCAGGACGCTGACGGTGGTACAACAGCAGACGCAGCTGACAGTGCAGCAGCAGCTGACGGTGGTACAGCAGCAGCTGTACCACCAATAGTAGCGATGGTTTGATTGGGGGTTTATTATACAACCTGGCCAGCTCGGAGACACGCACTCCACTTTCATACTTATCAATGATCTTTTTCTTCATCTCTATAGTAATTTCACCCTTATTGCTGTAGGGTTGGCACTAGAAGCTTTCTTGGGGCCCATGGTCACTTATTTTCCAGAAAAAATCACCAAAAACACTGTAATAATACGAAATGTTCCGATTGTATGCTTGGATGTTACTGCGGAGGCTGGCTGGTAAACAATGCCACCGGCGGAACATGTGAGCGTGGCTCAGGCCGCACATTGGACGTGTCTCGGACGAAGGGCGGTGAGCGGGTTTTTGGGCGGTATGCGAGGCAAAATTTTTGCGAAAAAAGCGAGCGGTATGCGGATTGTACAGTATGCGATGCGTGCGGTATGCGGGGGTCCACTGTATACAAAGCCAAGGAACAACACTTAATAGTGAAAAACAGTTTGGAGGCAGCAGCACCAGTACATGTACCCAGGATCATAGCATAAACTTTATTCACACAGAAAACAGTGAAGGTATAGAGCATCTTAAACATCAGTTATATGTTCACAGAAGTGGCAGGTCAGTAGGACACTTCCTTTTTGACTACAGCCAATTTAGAAGTCCTGAGAACTGGTTGGATAAGTACACTTTCCTATACAGATAGGTAACAACTGATGTTGTTACCTATCTGTAACAGCACAATGTCCAGCAGCCTCCCCCGGCCATCCCTTCGGGGTGCCATTCCAATTACCACCGGGGCTGTGGATTTATAAGGGGTTATTTTTATAATTTGCCCCAAAGGAGTGTGTATCTCAGCATTTCAATATAATATGAAATGCTTAGTTCTACTCACTTGGTTTGGGTGAAATCAACCACCCATGATGGGATCTGTTGTTAATTCCAGTCAACTCTCACCCCTACCTATCAGCTGCAGCTAACATAATTAGGTGTGGGTATGGCTGGACTTACCTGGGTATTGTAACTGACCCAATTTTCCCTAGTTTGTGGTAATGGAAGTATGACCCCAGTATCATTGTCTTGGCTGAAGGCTTGATCGTTTCGGGGAATGTTGCACTGTTCGCCACTACGTCAGGAATGTTTGTTGCAATCGCTTGCAATATCGGTTGCACTTCACCTTTCAGTTCCATCATTTGTTCATAGTTTCGTGGTATTATCCACACTAAGGAAAACCTGGAGATACAATAACACTACTTGATTAGTTCTACCGCGAATTTCGTGGCCTATATATAAGGGAACTTTTCCAACTTTTCCTAGTTTCCTAAGATTATCAGAATGAACAAGAGTCAAGAACACACTGGTCACTACTGTCCCTTTGCCTTTTAACGATAAGGAGGTGACACCTTCATGACAAACGTCTCTCGTCCGTTCCTTGAAGCAATCTGAGGCCCACCCGCTTCGTCGCCCTTCTCATTCTCATCCCCACAAAGGATATGCTGAACTCAGGCTTTATTTCTCTCCCTTGCTACACATTGCAACAGTATTCAATACAAGATGGTAGATTTCTTGTTACCTAGCTATAGACTAGAATTCTTAATTGTCCCAACTTGTAAATAAAGTGGGTGTAGGGTTACTCTCGGTTAACAAGAACTAGCAAGGAGAGGAAAGCGTGTCTTGTCACGCTAGGGTACAAACATGTGGGTTTAATCAATTTGTTTGTGAGGAAGGAAGAGTCCATGAGCCCCTTCTGGGAGGGCTAAGCCCCTCTGAGGGCTGAGAGATATCTCCTTTACTGGAGAATTTTTTCCACAGTCCAGAACATAGGTTACATCTTGTTGGCTGGATCATTCATGAAGCGGGCACATTTGTCACCACTTAAAACTGCAATATAAAAACACAACTTTTTTTTTTTCAACATTAATAAAATACAGTGGATCCCCGCATAACGATCACCTCCGAATGCGACCAATTATGTAAGTGTATTTATGTAAGTGCGTTTGTACGTGTATGTTTGGGGGTCTGAAATGGACTAATCTACTTCACAATATTCCTTATGGGAACAAATTCGGTCAGTACTGGCACCTGAACATACTTCTGGAGTGAAAAAATATCGTTAACCGGGGGTCCTCTGTAATTTACTCTTGATATTCCTCGGTGGGAGACGGCCGACTTGTTGAAAAAAAAAAAAAAATTCCTACAAAGAATAACAATAATATACACTTTTATGTTGTGCACTAGATAAGACAAATACATAAACAATAATACACACAAATGTGTACAAATACTAAATTGTCTGTCGGTTACTCTGAATATTACCCTAATATTTATAAGAAGGTCTGTCACTTTCTAAGCATATCACAGCACACATTGTTGCTTGATTTTTAAAATATAAAGCTTGGGCAATTGACAACATAATTCTTTCAGGCCTGGTAGAATCTGCATTAATTGATGGTACAGTGAGAAGGTCACTTGAGGGAAACACTTGTGTTTTCACCTGCACTTATTGTAACATTCCATGCACTGGGGAAACTCCTATCAAGCAACACCTTCAAAGTAGTAATCATCAGAAAAAAATGAGGTAAGGAGAAATCTTTTTTATATTAGCTTAGCATTACAGTGGACCCTCACCTAATGATATTAATCCGTTCCTGAGAGCTCAACGTTAGGCGAAATTATCGTTAGGCGAATTAATTTTCCCCATGAGAAATACTGTAATGGAAATCAAATTAATCCGTTCCTGACACCCCAAAGTATGAAAAAAAACATTTTTTTACCACATGAAATATTAATTTTAATACACACAAACTGAAGAAGACATGCACAGTTACATGACACTTATGATTATTAAAGATCTGGTGATGATTGATGGGATGGCAGGAGGGGAGTGTGGATGGTCTTAGTGTTTAGAAGGGGAATCCCCATCCATTAGGATTTGAGGTAGCAAGTCCTTTTCTGGAGTTACTTCCCTTCTTCTTTTAATGCCACAAGGACCAGCTTGAGAGTCACTGGACTTTTGTCGCACAACATATCTGTCCATAGAGGCCTGTGCCTCTCATTCCTTTATGACTTTCCTAAAGTGGTTCACAACATAGTCAGTGTAATAGTCATCAGCACGGCTTGCAATATCTGTGTCAGGGTGATTTTCATCAAAAAAGGTTTGCACTTTAAGCCACATTGCACACATTTCCTTAATCTTTGAAGTAGGCAACTTCTTCAATTTCTCTCTCCCCTCCTCCGAACCAGTTTCCTCAGGTCTGGCCTCTTGCTGTTGAAGATGATCTAGCAGCTCATCAGTGGTTAGTTCTTCATTGTCCTCCTCCTCCTCCTCCAACTCTTCCACATCCTCCCCACTAACCTCCAACCTCAAGGACTTCCCCAATGCCACAATGGATTCCTCAACTGGCATACTCTTCTCAGGGTTAGCCTCAAATCCTTCAAAATCCCTTTTGTCTACACATTGTGGCCACAGTTTTTTCCAAGCAGAGTTCAAGGTCCTCTTAGTCACTCCCTCCCAAGCCTTACCTATAACGTTTACACAATTGAGGATATTAAAGTGATCTCTCCAAAACTCTCTTAGTCAGTTGAGTTTCTGAGGTCACTACAAAGCACCTTTCAAACAGAGCTTTTGTGTACAGTTTTTTGAAGTTTGCAATGACCTACTGGTCCATGGGTTGCAGGAGAGGAGTGGTATTAGGAGGCAAAAACTTGATCTTAATGAAGCTCATGTCTGCAGAAAGTCACTCTGCCACGTCTGAAGGATGACCAGGAGCGTTGTCTAATACCAGGAGGCACTTAAGGTCAAATTTATTTTCAATTAGGTAATTTTTCACAGTGGGGGCAAATGCATGGTGTAACCAGTCATAGAAAAAGTCCCTAGTGACCCATGCCTTACTGTTTGCCCTCTACAGCACACAAATTAGCCTTGAGGATATTCTTTTGCCTGAACGCTCTGGGAGTTTCCGAGTGATACACCAATAAAGGCTTCATTTTGCAATCACCACTAGCATTGGCACACATCAACAGAGTAAGCCTGTCTTTCATAGGCTTATGTCCTGGGAGTGCCTTTTCCTCCTGAGTAATGTAGGTCCTGCTTGGCATTTTCTTCCAAAACAGGCCTGTTTCATCACAATTAAACACTTGTTCAGGTTTCAATCCTTCAGCCTCTTATGTACTCCTTGAATTCATGCACATATTTTTCAGTTGCTTTGTGGTCTGAACTGGCAGCCTCACCATGCCTTATCACACTATGTATGCCACTAAGATTCTTAAATCTCTCAAACCAACCTTTGCTGGCCTTAAATTCACTCCCATCACCACTAGTTGCAGGCATTTTTCTAATTAAATCCTCATGCAACTTCCTAGCCTTTTCACATATGATCACTTGAGAGATGCCATCTCCTGCTATCTGTTTTTCGTTTATCCACACAATAACAGTCTCTCAACATCTTCTATCACTTGTGATCTCTGTTTCGAAAACAAAGTTGCACCTTTGGCAAGAACAGCTTCCTTGATTGCCGTTTTCTTGGCCACAATAGTAGCGATGGTTGATTGGGGTTTACTATACAACCTGGCCAGCTCGGAGACATGCACTCCACTTTCATACTTAGCAATGATCTCTTTCTTCATATCCATAGTAATTCTAACCCTTATTCCTGTAGGGTTGGCACTAGAAGCTTTCTTGGGGCCCATGGTCACTTTATTTTGCAGGTGAAATCACTAAAATGCTCTGATAATACGAAATGTTCTGATTGTATGCCTGGATGTGACCACGGAGGCTGGCTTGTAAACACTGCCACCCATGGAACAAGTGAGGCTGGCTCAGGCCGCACGTGGACGCGTCTCGGACGAATCGCGTTTGAGAGAGTTTTTTAGTGCTAGGCGAGGCAAATTTTTTGCGTTAAAATGTATCACTAGGCGGATTTAACGTTATGCGATGCCATCGTTAGGTGAGGGTCCACTGTATTTACATTGCAGGTGTTGACTCTCAGCTCCTGGTATTGCCTCTCAATTTCTTGCATATAATCTTACATTCTGGCCTGTATGCACTATCATACCTGTTCAGGCAGGTGTTTAGATGTTGTGGGTAGTAAGATGGGTGGGGATTGTGATTGTTCTCCAGGTTGCATCTGTTTGGTGATATCATGTTAACCCTTCAACTGTCTGTCACATAGATGTATGTTATTGATGCCAGGGTCCCAAACATAGATCTGTGTTTTGAGCTCAGCTCACTCATAATCTAAAAGCAGTGAATTTTGGCCTACATATGAGAGCATGGGTCTGTGCAGTGAGTGTACACAGTGTAAAAAAAATGTTGCCCCATGTGGTACATGATGGGAAAAGCAAAGCACTGAGCTTGTGTTTGATTTAAAATAGCAAATTTGGGGCATTTTCTAGGATGGTTTTTGTAGTTTTATTGGTTTTCTTGTAATTTTAGGGAATTGAAAACATGCTACTGAAATATACAAGATTTGGTTGGTTCCAGGACTGCAAGTAACTTGAAATCAGCCTCAAGTAGTGGAAATATTAAATTTTTGCCAATGTTTCCTGAGGATGGGTAAGGCTCCTTCCTTATGCCCACCATAATGTTTTATTTTTTTTTTACTAGGTCTCATGCAGTCATTGGAACACTGTAAACCATAATCTGTCATTCCTGGTTGTATTTTTTATCAGAGAAATAGGGTAAATCTTCGATTTTTGGTGATGACTTAAAAATGGAAGGCAAGTGTAGCATAGGGGAGGCCTGGGGATGTAATTAATGAACAGAAGAAATGTTGTATTGGTATCTGGAATGTTTGTATTTATTTTAATCTTTTTAGATAGGTTTTTTTTTTTTTTTTTTTTTTTTTTTTTTTTTTTTTTTTTTTTTTTTTTTTTTTTTTTTTTTGTAAAATTGGCCAAATTAGTCTTGTGTAATTTATAGGGTAGTTTTGAGAATTAATTGGGTAGTTTCTTGTGCTTAACCCTTTCACTGTCGGTCCTGTAATATTATGGCTTTGAAGCCAGTGTCGGTCCTGTGATAATACGATAAAATTCTAGCTGCTTCAGATCTGGTGGGAGAAAGCTGGTAGGTCTACATGTGAGAGAATGGGTCTGTGTGCTTAGTTTTTTTTTTTTTATTATTATCACACTGGCCGATTCCCACCAAGGCAGGGTGGCCCGAAAAAGAAAAACTTTCAACATCATTCACTCCATCACTGTCTTGCCAGAAGGGTGCTTTACACTACAGTTTTTAAACTGCAACATTAACACCCCTCCTTAGTGTGCGCAGTATAAAAAAATCGGGGAGGCTGCAGTGCATTGTCAGTGCATGTCAGCTTACTGTAACTCCATTAGTACACAGTCAAGATCTTAGTTTTTTGCCCTATGCAGTGTTTTCCTATTTTTCATTTGTTTTTTGGTCATCGCTGTCACTTTAATACTTCAGTAACTTCTTTGTTTCTTTAGAACATAAGAAGGGAGGAACACTGCAGTAGGCCTGTTGACCCATACTAGGCAGGTCCTTCACAAATCCAACCCACTAACAGAAATGCTACCTGAGCAATAACCTTAGAGAATTCTATTTACTCATGTGCACATTCCATTCAAGTCCAACCCCTCTCACTCGTGTACTTTTCCTACCTAAATTTGAAACTACTCAAGGTTTTAGCTTCGATAACTACTAGGCAGATCATTCCACTCATCAACTACCCTATTACCAAACCAGTACTTTCCTATATCCTTTCTAAATCTAAACTTATCTAGTTTGAAACCACTATTGTGGATTCTCTCTTGGAGGGATATCCTCAAAACCTTATTTATACGTATCCCCTTTGTTAATACCCATCTTCCACTTATACACTTCGATCATGTCTTCTCTCATTCTTCGTCGTACAAGTGAATATAGTTTAAGAGTCTTCAATCTTTCTTCATGCAGAAGATTTCTAATGCTATGTATTAACCCTTTGACTGTCGCAACCCCCAATCCTAGTGTTTGTGTTGCAAAATATTTGAAAAAGTAAATTATATTTTCTTATGAAATGATAGAGAATCTTTTCCCGATGCTGATGACACCAAAAGTGCAAAATTTGATAGAAAACTTACAGAATTACGCTCTAACGAAGTTAGTGATCTCGGTGATATTTACGCATCGGCGATTTCGCCCACTTTGAGCCTTATTTTCGGCCAATTCCATTGTTCCAGTCGACCAAACTCATAGCTATTTCTTTAGAACTCCATTTGTTCTATCGGCTGAGTACAAGGAACATCCCATTTACCTATTTCAACTACCCAATAAAGTTGTTAGACTTCGGCAATTTGGCCAATATCACGCAAATTAAAAAATATGCCTATTTCAAAAGAGGGTCCAGAATGAACAATGCAGACATTTGTCACTAAAATGACATTTTCTCTGTTTATCAGTCACGTCTCCAGGCCCCTCTGATATTACTCTTGCTTATTATTTTGAATTTTTATTCACACAGAAAATGTAAGATTTACTGTTATGCAGACTACTGCATTATTGTAATACAGTGGACCCTCGGGTAACGACATTAATCCATTCCAGAGTTAATTTTCCCCTTAAGAAATAATGGAAGTCCA